TAAAGGTTAACCTTATTTTATTAAATTAGATCAGGCAGATTGGTCTCTTGAGAGTCGCGTAAACCTGAGCGGTTGTTTGTGCATTTCGTATCAAAAGGCAGACGGTCTTTCTCAGGCGATCCTACGGCGAACTCTTTTTCCACAAAATCTCGCGACAAGAATCCGGCGCAAAGTAAACAAATGAAAAGGAGATAAACAGGCCCTACGCGGTGTAAAACCTACACTGCAATTTGAAAAAAAATAGGGCAATATGGCGTCAAATTACTCGTCCTCTAAATGGCGAATAAGACGAACGTTGCTACAAAACCATTCGGATACCTTAGTAACCGCAGGTAGCCCTGATTCTCGAAGAATTTTTTTTTAATTCGTCCACCTGTCTAAAGATTCTCAGTCTACGCCAAAGATATATGCGGCGCTTGTTAAAAGCGTCCATATATTTTCTGATTTGCCTTGAAGGAAATGCATTAAGCCGCGACTTCAGATATAGATGATGCGTTGTTCGGTCTTCCCTGGAGAAACAGATGGCTTGATCTGGGGTTTGATCAATCAGAAGGTTGGAGCATATAATCATCCTAGGTGGATGAGGACGGAAAAAAACGCCCGAAGCCGGCAATCTGGTCAGTCGAAAATTGACCAATAGAATGCAACCTGGTAGGAACTAGTAAATCTCCCTCAGGCGCCGTACGGTGACCTGCTTTTATTCCAAAAGCGTAAGGTCGAATGCCGAGCTGAGGGCTATAATTACCACCCGAATTGATGTATACATTAGTCAGATCGCTGCATCGACGATCTAAATGCAGATAGCCATCCGCGTTTACACCTAGAAGGCGACTCCTCTAAACACAACAGGTAATTTAAAATACTCAAAACAAAAAACAAGGCTAATTCTCTCAAGGAATTCATCCACATCACAAACCTATGGCCGGGACAGCAGGAGACACCCGTCCATCAAATGACGTTGAATTTACATTATATGGCCTATCTTATGAACTGTGCACTGAAATTCTGAACGGTGTTTTTGCATTGAACAAATTATCGTGGTGATTACAAGACATTTCAGTCACGTAATGATGCGGGCTCTTAGATGATCTTGATTCTGCCCAGCTGCAAAAAGTGTACCTTGCATAAAATGGCTACTTAGGTAGTATAAATGTTCTCACTATTTTTCGATGTTTCTATAAGTTCAAATGCATTTTATATAAAACACGCACAAAGATATTATTTCTTCTAATCGTTTGGTAGAAATTTACGCATCCTGAAAAACTATAACTTGAAGAGAGTACCTTTTGGTTTAAAAAACGTTCTACAAAATATAGTTGAATTTAGGAAGGCGTTTAAAGTCAGTGAGGAAAATGCGTAAGACGAAAGTAACCACTTTTTACTGGGTATGCATTTTGCAGCCCATCAGCAACAAGCCGGCATCCTGATGTGACTTAACTGTCTTGAGATTAGACCGCAAGGTTATCAATATTACAACCACTTCCGGCCGACATTTCAAGATATAAATAATCTACTGTAACAGTGAATTGGAGGTCTGCAAACTCCCAGTTTTTCGAGATACAGAGTCAGGGTAACCCGAAAAGGACCAATCACACTCGACCTCCGAAAACTGGAGGTTTTTGTTTCTCCTCCAGATAAGCCACCGTACAGTGTGCGACGGCCATAAATTCGGTCCTAGCTTAAATTAGACGTGGGGTTGGTGACCTGGCGAAAAATCTAAAAGATGTTCCTTATTGAATGAAATAAAACATGACTTCATTGCCGTAGATACTAGTGAGAAACCCCACCTACAACACCCATAGCAACCTTGTCGAACTAATGCAATACATGCATCGCTGAATGTGAAAAGAACCGGATATTTTTGTGGAATATGAGAGGTAAAGCGCCGATCGTGAAGAGTAAAAGAAGTCCTGTGGCGGAGAAAAAAGGAGACTTCATAAAGATCGTTTAGGATTTACCTAGGAGGGTTATTAATCAGTGCGCTCAGCGCTATACTACCATTTCCTCCTGGAATAATAACGACCACATATGAACCCGCAATTAGCTAATGAGCAGCGTTAAGGGGGATTAATAGGAAAGGAAATCAGGGGTTCCAAGGGCAACAGCTCGCAGCTCGCTTACAGCCCATTAGTGAGAAACCAAACAATTTTAACTCAAAAGTAGATACAACTATGGCCATTTTCTTTACCTACGTGGCAATTAATAGGTAAAAGTCCGAACAAGAGGCTGGCAATTGTGAGAGTTTACTGTTTAAAGAGTCGCTAGGTTATTTTTGACAGATGGACAGTAGTCCTCACAAGATGATTCGAGAATTAACCTTACTTAAGTTCGTTTGAAAGGCAAAACCACGACGACCAGAGGACACAACTAGGATCATAGGGCAACCAAGAGTTACTAGCGATCTCTCAATGCAGGGGGATTATTAGAAGGGACTACTAGTTCTGAGACCCAGCGGCGTCATTTTGCCTGCCCAAGGGGGATTTCGAAACACGAACTCGCCTTGGCGGAAAGCGCATAAGATGGCTCAGTCACTATGAGCGCCAATCGCCCCCCAGAGGTGGATAGGACTGCAAACGTAAAACAAACTGCGAAAGACACATAAATTGTACACAATTCCTGATCCTCCATATAATTCGCCATCACCGACACACAGAAAAAAAGCCAATGTTACGAGGAATC